CCGCCTGGAGAAGAGAAGGCTCTGGGGAGACCTGATATCTGGCTTTCAATATTTAATGTGGAGCTATAGGAAAAAGAGGACAGACTCTTCAGCAGTGTCTGTTGTGACAAGACAAGGGGAAATGGTTTCAAACTTAAAGAGAAGAGATTTAGATTGGATATAAGGAAGAAGATTTTTCCTATAGGAGTGGTGAGGCACTGGAACAGGTTGCCAGAGAGGCAATAGAAGCCCCATTCCTGGAGACATTCAGGGTCTGGCTGGATGGGCTCTGAGCACCTGATGGAGCTGTGGGTGTCCCTGTACATTGCAGGGGAGATGGACTTAGTGACCTTTAAAGGTCTCTTCCAACTCAAAAGGTTCTATGGTTTCTAAGGGGAGGAGAAAATAAAGTTAAGAATGAAGGATACATCCCCATGATGTATTATCTAAGAACGTATTCTTTTAACAAGTGCTGAGAACTGAAACACCATAACCTTTCTGAAAAATCCATATCTTGTTGAATACCTTAGATTTCAAGATAGGGACTAACTATTGAGCTGCTATTTACTTTGCTTCATCTGTCCTTTCTGCTGGAAACTCCAGCAAAATTTCTAAAAATATTCTGGTAATAGGATTTTGTGTGGCAATTGCTTCTTTGTCTCTTCTAGAGTAGGAGTAGTAAAGGTGATGTCACAGTGGGTCACTATTCTCAAAGCTTTTTCCCAGTCATTTGCAGAACTTCTAGGTGAACAACATATTCACAAAAAATAGTTAAAAATTAGAAGATTTCGTTAACATCAATAAAACCTCTCCTAGAATTTTGCAAAAACCTGATTTTTCTTGTTATTTAGAATTTTAAAACCTCAATTATTACTGTTAAGTAGTTGAAGCAATTTGAATGCTTTCCTTAATATATTCTAAGATAAAAATATTGCTCAGATATTTGAGAACAAAAAAGAAAAAAAGGATAAAAATATAAAGGTAAATTTAGATTAAAATAAATCCCTCCCAGCTTTACTAAGTAGCCATCATTCTAAACACTATATATCTTAGGTCACTAACAAAAAATGAACATATTTCTTTGCCAGTTTGTTATTGTATATCCCTATAACCAGACTGTCTAGGATTAAATCTAAAATCAGAAATCAGATGTGCTGTAACATTAAATGTTTAGGAAATCCTTTTCCTATGGAGTATTCATCATTCTATTACGTTAAATTGAGCTGGTCAGATTCTGCTCTTATGTGAACATCACATCTGTTGACAGAGAGTGTAAGAAGCCTACAAAACTGCTGCATTGGCTCAGCATAAGAAGAGAGGTGGTATTTGAAATACATTTTATCTTTTGAAAGCCATATTTTTTCCCAATAATAGATGTTGAAACAAGGTTCCCTAGGGTTAGGCAATTTGTGTTCTTCCCTACTCAGCTAAAGACGATATTAAGGAGCTAAAGTAAGGAGAAATATTGTCAGTTGGCTACAGCAATGTAATGTGCTTGATATCACTCTTCTGGCACTTTGGACACTTTATTTAATATGGAAATCATCACAAACAGACTAGCTGCTGAGTACTTCCAGGTTCAGAGTTTGTTACAAGACAGGATTGTCACGTCAGAGGCTCTGTGTGTGCCACCAAGCTGATAAACATGCACTCACTATGGCAGTGGGGAATGGTAGGACTTTAACAGCTAGTAAAAGAGCAGCCCTGAAGGTGGCTGTTGTCCTTATTTGACAGGACAACAGCTGCAAACACTGACGAGAAAGCAAAAGGTAGAAAGACTGAAGTAAATGGGAATTAAAGCTGCATTGTTTTAATGAAGTAGTTACTTTTTTAGTAACATAATCATATTCCAATATTAACAGTTTGCCTAACTTTAAAACAGAAATATTAAAAATGCTTGCAAACCTACTCCTGGAGCACGAATTCCTCAAGCATTCTGCTGGAGTGCCAGACAGCGAGGCTCTTAAAAATAAGAGGCTCTATTGAAAAGTACTCCAAAAATCTCAGGTAAAATTAGAAACTGATTTTGCTTAGGCAGGCAGAAATCACCACAGCAAGCAAAGATACGACTCTATGAGCAATATTTACTGCCATTATAATGTTCTAAATTTCTTAGTGTTTACACAGAAATAGAAATTGCACCTGCTCAGATTACCCAAGATGAAATAAGTTATCTGAGGTGCCAGTTTCTTCTCTTAGCCTTTGCAGAGGTGAGGCAAAATAGAAAAACGTTCTAATAAAATATACTAGTTTGCACCCTCAGCATATACACTGTAGTAACTTGTGGCAAGCACTTTCATCAGCTGATATATTGGAAGTAGTAGTAGCTGTAGGATATCAGATTAGTGCTGAAGTACATTTTTAAGTGGACAACAAATGAGTAAGCAATAAAGGAGCAGTACACATTGCCAAACTTTACAACATATGCACAAAAGACCCAAAGCAGATCTTCGGAACTCTACAGACTATGCAGAGAAATCCCAATGGTTTTATCAAAACTTTCTAAAGCATCATTTCAAAACTCTCTGCAATTCTTCAAAAATTTCAGTACAGAAAATAAAGGTGGGAACCAAAGAACTAACTGCATTTCAACCTTGCTCCCAGATCTCTGTAACCAAACTTTTTTTAGTTTTTGTTTCATTTACTGAACACTAAAACTGATTGTAGTGCAACATTTTACCATCATCAATTTTATTTCTGAAAAATCATGGAACATGGAGACAGCTTTCCTTTAAGATATTTTAATTCAAGTAGTTATCCTCATTACTAGTTAGGGATATTACATTTCAGTCTTTTGAAGGTGTTCAACAGCTTACAGTTTTAACAGCATCAGTTTTGGTATCTCCAAAGCTATCAGTTCAAGCATCAAGATTTAAATTAGAAGATGAAATTTCACAGATGAAAATATTAGGATAATTCTATCAGCTGTCATACTGAAATGTGTATACATACAGAATTATGTCCTGTCAGATTGAAACAGTCCATCAGAAAATGTCAGAAGGTATATATAATGACTTGCTTCCCAACTGGATTCCCACAAGAACATTAACTAAAAATCTTAAGTCCCTTTTTTTTTCACAATGCACTTTTGCATTTTTAATCATTTCCAATTCTTCATAGTAGCATTTTCCATTCAGCTATGCAATATAGTGTCACATACATAATATTTTATAAGAGACAGCTTCTGTTATGCTTTGGGATTTCAATTCACAATTGTTTTGATTTATTAGATGATAAACCTTTTCCAATGCTTTTTCTGTTTAAAAAGAGATCTGTAAATAACCAATCCAATATGAAAAATGCTAAACAGCTCCTTTGAAATTCTAATGGAGATTGGCTTTGGTTATGTTATCATTCACTGCAGAATCTTTGTGATGATACTTTATCCGGAATGTATAGGAATGTAGCCTGAAAATGTGTATGTATTTCTATGTTGGTCTGCTGGGACATAAAAATTTCAGTTGGGTGCAGATAGCATGTTAAAGTTGGATTTAGAAACATAAAAAAAGATTATTTTACAATATCTGGAGCTTATAAATTTTAGTTTAATATTCAGAAACATTTGCTGTTAAATGCTTTCTTGTCTTTTTTCCTATTGTTAAAAAAATTGTTTAATTATTTCAGATCTGTTATCTTGCTTCCCAACTCTCAAATCATCACAAGAAACCTTGCTGCAAAGCTTAACTTCAGCTAGTCCTCATTTCCTGCCTCCACACCATTTTCTGCCTATGTTTGCTATATGGCAGGTAAATATCATGGCATGCCTTGATGTCAGCAACCTAGTCCAGATGGAGCTAGGACCAACTGGGCCATGCATCTTGATTCTTGAATTTAGACCCCCAGCTCTAACATAAAGTCATCTCCTAAGCCACTAATCCTTCCTAATTAATCCACTGTATTCTCCAGTTTCCTAGAGACTCCATCTCTGGTGTATTCTGCTATTTAGCAAACTTTGTTCCACCAGACTTTATTGTATGGGCTATGATCAAGGTTTGTAGGGCTCAAAAGTTCTTTTCTCTTTGACATCACTCCATCACTTTTCCAGGCTTGCCACTCCTTAGAACTATGCCTAGCTTTTCTATCACTTCTAGAAATTCAACATTTCTAGAATGCAGTGAAGGGCTTATCACTTAAAATTTTAAGTGTTAATTGCCTATTAATGAAAACTTTAATTTCTGGGAGATTAAACTTTTAACTGCTAGGTGTCTAGAAGAGTTCCAGCTCACAACAACTAACACTCACCTGTAGAACATTTTAAAATGCCCCTTCTATGGAACAAACCCTACATCCAAGTGTGTGAAAGCCCAGATGCAAGCTCATAGAATCACAGAATCATAGAATGGCTTGGGTTGAAAGGGACCCCAAACATGGCTAAGTATTTCCAAGATTGACAAAAAAAAAAAACATGACTGAATTATCAGAATGCATTGAACAAGTAATGGCTAATTTGGGATTAAAGAAAATCTCATTGTTCATTTTGGGAATGTCAAAAGAGGATTCCTCCCCTACCTTTATTTCACCTGCATATGTCCTCATGAATTCTTCTGAAAATGTATACTTTGAGAAAGATATTCAGATTCAGCCTGACCTGCTCCTATGGAGGGAGACTCTGTTGTGTTCTCACATTGACACATTTACTCTTGATTACCAGAACTGCTATGTAACCCAATGAACCTTTCTAAACCTCTCAAACAGCACTCAGGACTTGATTTTCACAAATTCATAAGATATACTGAAGAAGAACTGAATTCCTAGTACAGTATAAGCTGTTTGACTACGTACTGAATTGGACTGAATTCTTCAGTCTGCTTTCTAACTTCTAGAATCTGTGGACAAGACATCACAAAAATACGTAAGACACAGCATCCAATCTGTATTCCTTAACATCTTGCCATTGTAGTTGTTCACCTTCAAAATTCCCACCCATTTCCTTAAGCTCTCTTTTATGTCACAAGAACTTTGCAAAGGGCTTGGATATCGTTGCCAAACACGGAATAAAGCATAGTGTCTTTTGCTCTTACCTCCAGAGCCACAATATGAGAAGCTTCTGGCACTCTGATGTTCTGTCAGATTTTAATGCGAACCCTGGAAGTTCATGGACACGATGCTGTACAGTCTGAAGAAGATAAATCACATTTACTTCAAGCCAGCTGACAGCAGTTTAAGCAGCTGCAATCATCAACCACCAAGGGAGTTTCTTCTTTTATCTTACTAAATGCAAAAGTATACCAGGAACTGGTAATATCACTGTACTATCAGGAGTCCTGGTTTTACATAAATATCAGCAAGCAGTAAGTAAATTCTGTTGACGAAATGTAATAAAACAAAGACGGTTTCAAATATGACCATTCCCTGATGTATTCTGTAACCCCGTCCTACTCACTTATTGCATGCTGCTGAGATTATAAGGTTTGCTTTTATCTGTCAGAAATCAATATTTCAAACATCGGATAAAAGAGGAAATTGAACTGGGAATAGGCTGAAGTGCTGTAAAAACTACAAAGCACAATTATCAAAAAGCACTTAAAGTACTTAATAGGACACACATATAAAAATGCTCAAATTAATGTCAGGGAACTATAATGAGAACTTTTCCTATGCTTTTTGATCCAAATGCAATGTAATTCGAGTGCTGCTTGGTCAGTCAATACAGTTTTCAATTTATATGAAACCCTAAGGATTTCTAGCAATCCATTTGCTAGAACTGAGCCATTACATATGATTGGTTAATATTTCAATTTATTGAAAATACATTATTTTGTGTAAAGTGTTTAAGTTGTTGAGGTTTAACCATTATAAACAGTTATGATAAAAATAGATCTTTGGGTAAACAGCGACTTTACAGTCAAGCTTTTAATAAATACTGGTATAACTAGAAAATTGGATTTTAAAGGGAATAGACATCATAAGGAAAAACCGCAAATATGCAGTGTGAGATGAGAGGGAAGTGGTATTACAACCAATCTTTATCAACATGCATTAAGCTGAGAAAAGACTTTGTAAAATGTTGGAAGCAGTTGTTATTTTATGCAAAAAAGTTTGCTATTAACTTTGCCACTTTCCCCTTAGGTTTATATATTCATTTATCATCTTTAATGCTATTGAGCTGGAGGTCCTTACAAAACTCTCCATTCCCGATCTGCAGTGTGTACGTGTCTGAATGCACTTATGAGAGTCTACAGAAAATACATTGTGTGGCCTTATGTAATTTGATATGAAATAAGAGCTGCAACACACAACGGAATTATAGCTATGATTTGAGCAAGCAAGGCCCATAATAACTAAATAATTGTATCAAACTGTATTTTCTTTACTTTTAGCAAGGAACAACAAGAGCTTATTGGAAAGCTTTTAAGAAAAAAACATTAGGGAAAAATTTTCTTAACACTCGCATTTCACTTTCATATGTTAGCCATTACACATTTTTCATAAAAGCAAAACTTAGCACAATCACAATTAAAAGGTGCATCTCATTGGAATGACAGCATTCTCCCTGAGCTTTGAATCAGACTATGGTTTCCATTAACAGACAAAATGTTTCACTAGACCAATATATTCTCATATCCTCCTCACTCAAGTGTTGGGCCTAATCCAGTGCAACTTATTGCTTAACATTCCTACTCTTTTTTATGCTTCTTTCATCCAGGCTAAGTCCAAATTCCTTTGCGTCTTCCATTTTTTAGATGCAAAATTTCATTTCAGTCCCTAGAACCTCAATTTGGGTCATAATCTACTGTCTTAAATTCATTCTCCCCATCCTTCATGGTTTTTCATATATCTTCCCCTTTCCCGCTTGTATGCTCATTATTCTTTCCCCAGCTCCCAACCTGATATCTCGATACAACAAACTGCCAATTTAGCATGTCATATCATTCTCTTAATTATCTGTACCATATCTATTTCTACATCTATCATGTATATCTATATCTATATGTTATTTCTGTTTTTCTCATGTTTATTTGATATGAGTTGACCTCCCTATGTCAGTTTTGATGATTGTCACATCTTCAGATTTCACAGCTTTCCTAAATACTTGCTTTTACTTTACTTCCATGAGCTAAAAGGATTAAGTGGTGATGCTAATTAAATAATTTTTTTAAAAGGTATTAATATTTCACATAACGCATTATTTCTATCATTCTTTGAACGACATTTTAAATATGTAACCAAAGAACAAAGTATGAACAGCCATGAAAAAATAATACATTTGCATACACAAAAAAGAAAAGTGAATATGATGTTTTCCAGAAAAAGGACTCCCAGGTCTGTAATGGCATTACAGGCAGGAAGAAGAATGGATAAGGATTATCATAGTGAGTGATTCCTGTCTCTGTCCAAGAAGTCTTTTGCAACTTCAGATAAATCAGACCCTCATTCTGTGAAACAGTTATAATGTTCTCTCTGATTGTGCAGTTTCAGGTCTGTTTAGGCTACTTAGCATTTTTTTGATCATACAGGGTGTTAGAATTTAATGCAGTGATGTAGACACTGATCGACTTGTACAATTTGCAGATACAGAATTGAATCACAGAATCACAGAATGGTAGGGGTTGGAAGGGACCTCCAGAGATCATCGAGTCTAACCCCCTGCCAAAGCAGCTTCCCTACACCAGGTCGCACAGGTAGGCATCCAGGCAGGTCTTGAACATCTCCAGAGAAGGAGACTCCACCACTTCCCTGGGCAGCCTGTTCCAGTGCTCCGTCACCTCACTGTAAAGAAGTTCTTGCGCACATTTGTGCAGAACTTCCTATGCTGCAGTTTCCCCTTGTCCTGTCTCCATTCACCACTGAAGAGAGTTCGGCCTCGCCATTCTGCCCCCCACACCTTAGATATTTATAGACCTGGATCAGGTCCCCTCTCAGTCTTCTTCTCTCAAGGCTGAACAGACCCAGTTCACTCAGCCTTTCTTCATAGGAGAGATGCTCCAGGCCTCTCACCATCTTCGTGGCCCTCCGCTGGACTCTTTCCAAGAGATCCCTGTCTTTTTTGTACTGGGGAGCCCAGAACTGGACGCAGTGCTCCAGATGAGGCCTCACCAGGGCAGAGTAGAGGGGGAGGATCACCTCCCTCGACCTGCTGGCCACGCTCTTCTTAATGCACCCCAGGATGCCATTGGCCCTCTTGGCCACAAGGGCACACTGCTGGCTCATGGCCAACCTGTCGTCCACCAGGACACCCAGGTCCCTCTCCGCAGAGCTCCTCTCCAGCAGCTCATCCCCCAACCTGTACAGGTGCATGCAATTATTCCTCCCCAGATGCAAGACTCTACACTTGCTTCAAAAGGAGTCAAGAACATTTGTGAACTTAGCTGCATGGTATATAGGAAAAATCTATCTCTATAATTCTAGTTTTGTGTATATTAAGTGAACACAACTAAATTGGAGGAACTGAGAAATAAATCCACAGAGTTTTCATGTGTGAAACCAATGTTGACAAGACAAAGGATAAATAGATTAATTCATCTGGATACGATATTTACTTGAATTCTTTCTGATGACGTCTGAAGTTTTTAGATTTCCTGAATCAACAAACAGGGCATGTACCTTTTCAAATAATAAATATTTCCAAACAACAAAATAATAAAATAATACTTTGTTTTAAAAAACAGTCTAAATGAAAACCATAATACGATCTGGTAAGGCAATTGTACTTAAAGCAGTTGTTATACCTTATTGTATAATGCATTTTACAGAAGCTTCCTCTATTGAACTTTATTGTATTTTTTCCTTCAATTATTAAATATAGGGGCTCAACCTCAAAAGCAAATGTACTTGTCTTTACATGCACTTGAATTGTTACTGCCATTTAAAACTAATCAATGTTTTCTTTAGTGCCATAATAGCTTGTTTGCAAAGCACCTCTTTTAGAAAAATTTACACCGCGTTCAGAAAGAAAACGTGTTATATATACTAAGAAAGATTCTTCATAAAGAGAAAGGGGATTTGATTCGTACCCAAAAGTTTAGTGCAATGAAACTAACCTGAAGAGCTTAAAAAATTGTGCAAGAAGAGAGTTGTTACACCAGGGTGTTAATATATTCAAGGAAAAATTATGTATTGTATACTATCCTTCCATCTCCACAGTGATTTGAAAGGGCTCCCATTTATGTGGTAAATATATATATATATAAATAGATTCTAGAGTTTATTATGTATACCGTTATTTTAGACCTATAGATTTTCATTAATATGAACAGGGAAATGGTTAAAATCTTACTAATACCAGAGTTGAAATACACCTGGAAGTTCAATTGCAAAAAACTCATAGGACACCAAGGTCTCAACAGTGGTGAAAAGTCCAAGCTGCTTCAGTGAAGTAGCTTCAATATATGCACTGACAGTACAGTTTGACACAAACAGGAAGGTTCACACTACTTTGCTGTGGGAACACAATGGAGGTTTCTAGATTAGTTTGCCTGGACTCCTTCAGAAGGAGTTCAGAGAAACAAAGTTGAGCAAGATGAGTAGCCTGAATGTCTCAAGTTCTGCATTTATTCAACAACCAGAAATCTTAATGAAGGACAAATGAAGCTTGCACAGAACTCACACATGGGTTTTATCATTTCAAATGTAAGTACTAGATCAATAAACACACCAAGTACAGTGCAAGCTATAAAACTTTGGTTCCAGTAGGGTAGCAAGTCTATCACTAGGATGAAAGTTACAAAAGGAAGTTAATGGAGATTGTAATCATTGGACATTAGTAAATAAATGCCTGTGATCACATCTGAGAAACTGATAAAGTTCATCCCATGTATCTTGTTTGGCTTCATGGTGATACTACTATAATTCTGCAATATATTTTGTTCATTCTGTTTGAAACACATTTCAATTTTAAATTGTAATTTTCCATTACAATTCTGTCTCAAGGTGATACCATCTGCCTACATTTCTGAAGTCTCTATGCCTAACTTGTTCTGTGTTTAATGTTGGCAATACTAATAATGGTAGCAAATGATTTACTTCCCAATTCTACCCCTGAAAAGATGCAGCGTCAAGCTGTTCTTCAAAACTTTGGAGGTTTGCATATATTTGTTCCTATCATCCAAGCACTTTTAGCTAACATAACTGCAATGTAAATTGGGTAACTGTAAATTGAGTAACTGCATGCAAGGG